TTCATCCACCAAACTGTCAACGCAAAGTGTGATGAGTTCTTCAGTGCCTAACAAACTCCTGAAGAAAATCCTGCCAATATTCAATGCAAAGTTTAGAATCTCATGAGAGGCGGGTAAATACCCTGAAAACTGCAGCGCTGATTTAAGGCAGATGCTCACCGGCAAGGTTAACATCGCCGGGGTAAACACTTTTTTCCTATTTGATAGTGGTGCTGAAACAGATGCCCTATCTCCAGATTTTGTCCAAGCAGTGCACATTCCACTGCTCAAGTTGCCAAACCCCTTGGTTCTCCAAATGGGGACCAAAAACAGTCGATCATGTATAATGTACGGCATGAATACTCCCATAACCATTCATGGGGTTACAACTACTCACTACTTTGACATCATTAACATTGACCACTACAATGCCATTCTCGGAGCTCCTTGGCTGAATGCCAATGGAGTGTCCCTCAATTTCGAAACCCACACCATCCACATAAAGACGGTGTATTGGGGATTTGCCAGTGTACCATAAACGAGCCAAATCCCACGATTCCACCATGCTCAGCAAACTCCCCACATCCTAGACACATAGAATGCACTCTCACGCACTTCTCATACACACTCCTTATTTTTCCTTATTTTTCTGATTCCATTTCCGGTGTCTAGAGCCCGATGTTTCCATTTCCTTATTGTCATGTGATGTTCTTTCCTTATTTGTTTATCGGACTCTTCCGTGACCCACTGTACAGTTTGGTAGAGAGTATCAGCACCAGACTCGACTGGACCAATATACCCCACTTCAGACCTGACTTGTAGTGAGATCCTTATCCCCCTCTTTCCTGTTGCAAGTCTAGTTGGATAGACCCGTTACAATGGGCAACATCAAAACGTTTGATGTCCTAATGGAATGGGGTAAAACTTCCGTGGGGGCTGCTGCATGTGGTCACCCCAAACTTCCCCGTGCACTGAAAACTGAGCTGCCTTCTAAACAGATGGCATGACGCAATATGATGAAGGCTGTAAACCCTTCACCACACATACTTGCCATGTGTCAGGGCACGCCGCCTCCTTATCCCTCTCCTGTCTGTCTCCCTTTCCTTCCTTCTTTCTCCATACAGACGACCTTCTCCTTCATACCTGTAGCCTGGACATGCCCAATGCCAGGTACCCTGCAGGGGTACCATGCCGCTGGATGCACTGTGCACCTCTACTTGTATTTCTCTTCTTTGACACTCAGGATCACCTGCAGAGCCACCCACGATATCCCGGCTCCATCTGGGAGTGATGTGGCACCCTCACATGACTGATTCCCACTTGGATATAAACTGAGCTGAAGCAGAACCGAAGAAGTAACCTTCTTCTCACTTTCTGCTTCAGGCAAGTACCCTAACTTAGTTTAGCCCTTCATCCTAATAACAATACACTTTCTGCTTCAGCCTAAGAAGCCATGGAGGGACGTGAGTCCGAGGGAGGGCTGTCCGCCATACCACCCCACTACCCTGCTACCACCCAAGCCACCAGTGCCAGGCGTTACACTGCCACCCCAACCTCTCCTGTACCATCCCTGACACCATGTCCACTCAAAAAGACGTGGAAACCCCTCAGTGGCCCAATCACTGGCCAAGCCCGAGGTCAAAAGACCTCAGGCTTCCCAACTGTTCCCATTTAGAAGGGCTGCCAATGACAGACCCTGAATTCGTGCCACTCAGGAATTGGTGGCATGAACATTTCAAGGACATCAAGGCACCAGCCCCTGAGGTCCTACCTCCATTCAGGGAGGTTAACCACCGGATCAACTTGATTGATCTGAATAAAAAAGGAGGGCTACGTGCCCTCAAGCTCTCGAACCGCAGCTTTGAGAGAAAATCGCTCATTATGAGCAAGCCAGATGGTGGGAACGCAAAGCAGTCGCAATGGCTGCTCCACTTCTTTGCCTTGCAAAGAAGGACGGTTCTTTATGAACTGTAATCGATGCAAGAAATCGCAATGTGAACTCTATTCTCAATGTCATGCCCATGCCTGACATGTGTTTCATCATGGACAGTATGGCTCAGGTTACTTATCGATCGAAGATTGATATGACAGATGAACATATTCATATCGAACTGGACTGCATACAATACACTGGGATGAGTACCCTGTATGGTACTTTCATATCCAACATGCTGCAACAAGGGGACTGTAATGGTTCCTCCATGTTCCAGCATGTTTTGACTTGGATCCTAAGGGATCAAATTGGTTGAGCCATCCATGTATGGTTCGACGACATCTTCACTAGAACTATGACAGTGAAGCAACACAACGAAAAGTTCCTGTGGATATACACTCATCTAAAAGACAAGAAGCTCTATGTGAGCCCAAGAAAATTTGAGCCATTCGCCCCCATTGTCATATCCGTGCATACCCGACCCCGACCCGACTTCCGGACCTCCACCCTCTTCACCTCCGGAGTCATAACCTACCACTGCCGTTCCGATACTCACCTTCGGTCTTGGCAACACACCCCTCCCCTTACCTCTCCGACCCTATCTCCGTCCGCTCCGATACTCATCTCGGACCGAACATCGCCCCACTCGCCACCCTTCCTACTACTCCGCTCCCCCTTCACAACACCTCCACCCTCCCATCATCCCCCTACGCTTCCCCCGTCCGCTCCGATACTCACCTTCGGACCTGACTACCCTCCTTTCCGCCACTCCCTCTTCCTTACCTTTCTCCCTCTGTTACTCCTCCGCCACCCTTCCGTCAAGTTACGACCTTCCACCGCTGTTCCATACTTCGCACTCGGACACCGTTCGTACCTTACTCCGAGCCTCCATCATAGTCCCTACCTCGGACTTTGACTCCACCTCGGTCTTAGTCCATTGCATTGGTGACCTCATACTACGTAAACACCATTGCCAATATTCCTCGGACTTTCAACCCCGCCTCCGTAACCTCCGTAAGCTCCGCAACCCCTGAGCTTCGTGGACCGCCTTCGGCACTCTCGCCGCCTGTAATGTATTTCTCGTGTTTTCCCCTCATCCCTATTTGGACTACTGCTTCTTTCTATTCTAGCCAGTTAGTCATCATCCCCACTTCCCCTCATCCTCCTGCCCCTCTGGGCCTCGCCCTCCCTACCTCCTTTCGGACGTATCACAGGTCTTGCCCTATGACCTTCGGTACCGCTCCGCTCCCTCTACCCTTTGTTCCCGTTCGGACGTCTTCGTTCTGATTCGGTCACCCTTTGTTCTCCTTGTGCTTTTGCCCCTTCCATTATATATATCGGCGCTTGTACATACTCATCTTGGTTTCAGTCCGAAATCGACCTGAAATGCCCCCTAGAGACTTCCTGCTCACCTACTGTGAAATTAAGGACCAAATGGACAAACAGCAATGGCACAGCGCTCCGCTTGAGTCGCTGAGGCCAAGGTCCCTCCACGCTAAGTCTCCGATTCCACTCCGGAGTCGTCCGTTTCCGCCCCATTCTAACACTATCCCTCCTTTCTGTTTCTGGGTTATTGCCTGCCATTCTGCTAACCCTGTAACCTGACTTGTCAGTAATCTAATGTTTAACTCTGTTAGCTCTGCTCCACTCAGTCCCGTCATTCACGGGCCCACCCTTGCTGTAACTATATATACTTAACTTGTACATAGGTTACACTTCAGTGATAAAATTGACTAGAGTTGATCCTATATATCCCTACATGAAATACGTGTGACAAAGCTGGCAGTCTTGCCATTTAGACTGTGATGTATTGCCATCTGATGACAGTTCTGAGATGGATTGTGCATCTGGACATCCTGTCCGACCTCACCAGGTTACAGGCATTTGGATTCACCGGATGCAGGAGATTGTGCTAAACATCTGTGAATGTCATACTGCTCCCATTCAGCTTGCATCTTATGGTCTCTTCCCTTGTTCCCCCATGAATTGTTATGGAAATGAGAATTTCCCATTTTAGACTCTTATGGGTTCTGTGTCACATGATTTGTATAGTAATTAAGTTTAACCAATCAATAAACAACCAAAAACCCACTGTGCTAACATCTGTTACAACTAATGTTAAACTGCCTGTGATAACATCTGTATAACCATATGAACCCCATTTCCCAACCTTTCCCTCTTCCTGCGCTAAGGACGGACGAAAATGGGCACCTCCGGCCCCATTTTTGTAACATGAATCCTCAGTTGGCAGTCAGTTTTGACATGCTCGAGTTAGTGTCTGAACTGTTCATGAACATGGCTCCCAATGAGAGAGGATGGGCAACTACAATCACGAAATATCTTGAGGTTTGAGGATTCCCATTTAGAAAAGGGGTGCATGATGTGGCATCGAATTTGTGTATCACCGGAGCTGACAAAGGTGTAGTTATCTCTACAGTGACGCTTTGCAAATGCGCTCTGCCACTATCAGATGCTTGTCCGCCTAGTGGATGCAGAAATTTCCAACACTGTGGAACATTCTCGATGCTACCTTGCCAGCTCTACAACAAGGAATCCTCTCACCGATGAGCATGCCATTGTGGGGACCGAGCATACCAACATACCCATTTCAGCATCCCAGGAATCCCTAGCATGGTCAATTCTGATGCGATCAATGCAGAGGCAGCTTCTACCCAACGTGTCCTGGATTCCTCCACACTGATGAGTCAAAGAACATTTGTCAATGCCCAAGGAATGGGAAACTTTGTCCCCAAACAAATTGCTGGGTCAGCAGCTCAACGTCCCAGTGCTTAGAAATGTTCTTATGCACCATTGGCATTGGTAGGTGATCATCGCATATGGGAAATCCTTAAGGAACATAAAACCGCGAAAATACTGGTGGTGTAGGGTATAGTAGGTTATCCTGCCTACACTGTCCACCATTGTTTTGCCACACCACTTTGTAAAAGAATGGGAGAAGAAGGATCGAGATTTTCAGGATCGGGTGCATGGCATGAGTGGGTGCTCTTGGGCAGTCAAGACTAATACTGGAATGTTGGACTACGTGATGCTGGATGACCCTGCTGAAGATGATGCAGTGGAGCCTGGTATGAATGTGCCCAAGTCTTCACTCAATGCATGCAATGATTCCTTCATTGCTGCGGATGGCAATTGTATCAAGGCTTCAACACAATATTTTGACGATACTGGCCTCATGGCTGTTCTGTGCCATCATGATTGGCCCCTTTTCTTGGCAAATATGTGGACTGCCAGAGAGAAGCGCTTCTACACCCTCACTCTTATAGTGGCAGTTTTTGAACATTTACCAAAGGACTGGCAGGTTGGATTACTTTATGACATCGCCTGTCAATTACACCATCACCTCAACAAGTGGGATTATGGGACCAATTGGTTGAAACGTCTGGAATTTGGTGTTTCCGTCTTCCATGTGTATGGCCATCAATGGGCCTGTCAACTTTGGTATCACCCTCACAAGTCGTATATATGGGGGTTGTCTGATGGTGAAGGTTGTGAAAGATTTTGGAGTGAGCTCCGAAAACTAATTCCTGGGCTTAGGGTCACTGGCATATGTTCAGGCTATCTTTTAGTGTCATCATCCATATATTTATGATTACTGTTAGAATGGGCAGATTCGGACGACTCCGGAATGGAATCGGAGACTTAGCATGGAAGGACCTTGGCCTCAGCGACTCAGGCAGAGCGCTGTGCCATTGCTGGTTGTCCTAGGGGTCCCTAATTTCGGATCTAGCAGAGGGAAAGTCTCTTGGGGGAATTCATGTCGATTTCGGACTGAGGTTACAAGTTACTAAGTACATTGTATATAAGGAGGGGTCCGGAATCAAAAGGAGCGAGGGTAGGACAAAAGGAGACAAAGGGAGATGGAAAGAGGAACAACACCGAGGGTCAAGGGTTTGACTCAATGGTGTTTCTCAAAGGAGGAATGAAGGGCCATGGCCCAAGGAGGAAGGAAGGAGGTTGGGAGTGGGGAATGGCTAGCTGACTGAATAGGAAGGAAGCAGCAGCCCAAATAGGAATGAGGGAGAATAGCGGAGTTGAATAGGACAATGCAATAGTTGCAAGGTCCGAGGTAAGTCCGGAAAGTCCGAACTCGGAAGTTAAACTCCGGAATATTGGCAAACATAATTAAATGGAATGAGCTAACCAATACAATGGGTATAAGTGGAGGTGGGGTCAAAGTCCGAGGTCGGAGCTAAGACCGGAGGTTCCGGAGATGAGACGTGAACGGGATACCGGAGCGGAGGTCCGGAGTTGGGAGCATAGGTTTTGCGTACTCGTCTGGAAGGTGTCGAGGTTGGGGTCAAACCCGGAATGTTCCGGAGTCGGACCGAAGGTGGTGTCCGAGCCAGAGGTGGGATAACCTCTTGGGAGTCGGCAAGGAGAAGGTGACGGAAGGGAAGTAGGACTCCGGAAGTCGGAGTTCGGAGTTCCGGGAGCCCGGAGTGGAGGTCGGGATTGTATGGATATGACAATTACCCTTTAGTATCATCGTCACCTTTTTATTCTTGACCTTCAGATCAAGCATGGTGATCGGATGAAGTTCGCAAATATGGGGAAATGGCTGCAGACTGGAATTTCCCATGCTCAAAATCGAATGTCAGAAGCTCATGAGCGCCTCATGCAGGCATCGGAGGAGAAGATTAGTTCTCTCCTTAGGTAGTTTCATGAGCAGAGGGCATTTCAAACTAAACCTGTTACTCATATGTATGTATCACGTCTAATTATTATGCTCTTGCACTGAGGATTGAGTCATGCCTACAGGTCAATCTGGGAATCGCTCAAAGAAGCTTATAGACACCATTTTGTCTCTCAGTCATTCACTTGAATCGCTCAAGGGCCTCCTTGCTAACTCATGAGCCAAGTTGGGGCTCCTCCTATCTACAGACCCCCTCAGGTCCATGGGTTGTCAATTAGAACTCACAGATAGGATCACAGCTGAAGAAGCAAGTGTTCAGCGTATGGAGGAACACATAAGGCAGAAAGAGGCCAAACTCCGACAAACCTCTCCTTCGATGGTTACCAACCTTGAGAGCTTGCGCCATGATAAGTGGCTCAACTTTCAGTTAAATCTACACATTCTGAAGGATCAGATTGTTTCCAAGCTTCATGCATGGAAGTTTGAGTTGGCAAATCTGGATCATGCATATCACAGTCATATGCTTGGTGTGTTGGTATTGATTGTGTTGTCATGTTGTCCTGATAACTGGAAACATCATAGATCAGAAGACCCAGGATCAGGCTGGGAGAGCGATAAGACATCATGAGCCTGGTATCATGGCTACTGTCAAACATTATAACAAGAAGTGGAATGAGATGCTGTGCATGCAGTTGGCAGGCAGCACTCCTGCGAATGCAGTTGTGCCACCGGAGCTCAACATGACAGTCATTTTTGATCTTGATGTCAATGCAGACATTTGGTTAGATGCTAGTGTGGAAGACCTTGGACAGTTCCCAGGTGGTGAAATCCCCAGTTGGCTCGTTGACCCGAGTGTCCAGAGACAAATACATGATGCGCAGGAGTATATTAATTGTCGAGAAGAACTTGAACATTGCAATGCAGAGTGCTATAATTTGTGAACCTGGATCACTGAACAAGATGCAGCAGTGCGGCATGCAATGCAGATGTGTAGCAGAGGTATGCTCAATTCAGAGAGTGTCCATATTTACTTTAATCTGGGCAATTAGACCCTGATGCCTTGTATTTCCTTGGTCTTGTAGAGAAGAGTTTGGTGGCGGTACTCTCGGACTGGAGGAAGCATTTGACCACTGGACCATTTGAGTGGACAATGCTGAATCAAATGCTGGTCAGTCCCCTAGTGTTTCTGCCAGCAACACCATCCCTGGTTGTTGCCCACCTACCACCTTCGGACCTGGACATGTCACCTCAACTGCAGCATGAAGTCCTAGGCATTGAAGATGGATATGATAGTTCAGATGATGACACGGCAAACAGCGAAGCAGAAGATATTGCCCAAGAGGGGGATTTCACGGTCATTGTAGACCTGGATCATGCGACAGCAACATTGGGTGATGCAGGTGGGGAGAATGGTGCCACAAACGGGGACAGTGATGATGAGCTACAGACCTCATAGCTTCCGCAAGTCTTCACTGGCCCCTTCTGGTTGGCGACATCCTTCTCTGGCATCCATACCGTTCACAATATCTCCTAGTTATGTCGACAAACCCTCCTCATTGACTTCGAGTGTCGCAATGCCTGTGTCTACACTCAGGCTCAGAAAGTCAAATTCCTTTTGATAATGGTACCCTTGCAGCAATCTGTACCCTTCCTTAGTTGGTGACATTCTTTGTCTGCACTCACAACCTCGGTACTATTCACGTCGATGTTGACTTCGAGTGTCACAATGCCTGAGTCTACACTCAGGCTCAGAAATTCAAATTCCTTTTGATAATGGTACCCTCACGGCAATCCATACCCTTCCTTAGTCAGCAACATTCTTTGTTCATGCTCACAACCTCGGTACTATTCATGTCAATGTCGACTTCGAGTGCCACAATGCCTGAGTCTATGCTCAGGCTCAGAAAAGCCAAATCCCCATTGATAGCTGCACCCTCACAGCAATCCATACCCTCATCCTTCATCCGCACTATTCACGACCTCGCAATTGCTCATGTTGACAAACACTCCTCGTCAACTTCAAGTGTCGCAATGCCTGTGTCTACGCTCAAACTCAGACACTGAGTAATAGTAGTCATCTCAACCTTCATTCTCATTTCGCTCATATCCCCGAATGACAGAATGCAGACAACACAATGGTGTCCCTTCGATCGTCTGCAGGTCATTGTCAGGGCACACCCGCCTGACCCGGTTCCACCTGGGCCCACCTGGGCCCACCTCACCCGCTCACCCGCTCACCCGCTCCCCGCTACCCATCCTTCCTCCCTCTTCCCCTTTCCTCCCTCTTCCCCTTTCCTCCCTCTTCCCCTTTCCTCCCTCTTCCCTCTTTCCTCTTTCTCCTTTATTTCACTCTCCCTTTCTGTTTATTCTTTCTATTTACACGGACCACCTTCCCTTGTATCATTGTACTGTTGACCCGTCCGGCTCGGACACCCCGGGCGACCTCCCGCTACGCCCAGCATGCGCGGACGCCCTCGGGATCCCCTGTGGGGATACCCGGATGGCTGCGGCCCTCTCCGCAGATGACGTGGCACCCGTCACGTGACCCAAGCCGCATGTACATAAATGTACCTGAAGTGGGAACTGAAGAAGTAACCTTCTTCTCACGTTTTCCACTTCAGGTAAGTAGTGTAGTTCTTCCTTTTAATAACAATTCACGTTTTCCACTTCAGTCTAAGTGGCCAGGGACTACAGTCCCAGATCGGGCCCGTCAGTACGCGCGCCCGCTTCGTCCCCTGAGAGGGTCCCTCTGCCGGGCGCTACAGCCGGGCCCCCTCCACCCCGGACGCGTCCCTGACAGTCATACTGCCATCTCATGCCCACTGTAAGGTTGAGTTCATGAGTGGTCTCGCAATATTCAGAGGTTGCCTTACACTCCCAGTCTGTTGAAGTATGCTGTATGAAGCTGTATTTATCAATGGGGGGGGGGGGGGGGGGTAGAAGGCTGGGGAAGCCTTTACCCCCTCACATGTAGGTTAAATACATTATTGTATATACATGTGATAGTTGCAGCTTGGGACCACATGGTAGAAATGAAGGGTTCGGGAATAGAAGTGTCATGTTGGGTACAAACCCGATGCAATAAATAAAGAATGAATAGGGTAGGCCACAAGTATGCGGCCTATATCCCTTACACTCTCCTCCCTTGTGATATTAATATCGCACAGGCAGGTATAACAAGAAGTTGTCAAGAAATTAATATAAGGTGGGGAATGGCGATTAAGCCATTCCCCTCAAAATTTTACAAGAGTTATTCAAGAAGGAATAAAAACGATAGCTGTTAGGCCTTGACAAAACTGTTATTATGATGGTTTCAGGATTAAGTGAAAGTAGAGGCTGTTAGGCCTCCACAGATCCATTGTTTCAATGGATCCAAAAATTACTACAAGGTAGAGGCTGTTAGGCCTCCACAGGTCTGTTGTTTCGATGGACCAAAGAAAAGATATATAAAGTAGAGGCCGTTAGGCCTCCACTGACCCACTGTTTCAGCAGATCAGAGGAAATAAGGAAGTGAAGGCTGTCAAGCCTTCACACAACCGTTGTTATGATGGTCCAGAGAATGGAGTGGAGAACATAGTAAAGCAAAGGCTGTTAGGCCTTTGCAGAACCATTGTTACGATGGTCCCAGAGCAGAAAACAAAAAAAAACGATGAATGAGGCAGTTAGGCCTCAGCGGTACGAATGATGCACCAGAGTGGATGATAGAATGGGGGGGTGATTAACCCCTCCATGTTAAATGAGGCACATATACCTCGATGAAGAGAAGGTGATTAAACCTTCTTTGCTTTACCCTTCTTGGAGGAAGGGCCAGTGGCAGCCGAAACAGCAGCACTAGAAAGGTCCAAAGTAGTCACGACCGACAAATCCTGGGGCTCCATCAGCGGCAAATCAATGCTGATAGGTGAATCTGCCAACCCGAAACCTGATCCAACCAGCCCTCAATCTGATGTCTGGCCCCCTGCCCTATCAAGTGAGACTTTGCCAACAATCAGACCCTGGACCCTGCCAGCATTCCGACTTCACTTCCAGTTCCCGAGCCTTTGGTGCTCCCAGCATCCAGTCCCTCTGGTTCCTCCTAGGCCTATAGCACAACTCAGTCTCACATCCCTGCCGCCGCATCCTCTGCACATTTTGCATCTTCCGTATTCTGTGCATCTTCCACATCCGGACCTCTGCCCACCTCTGCACCCTCTGCACCCCTGCCACTCCTGGTTGACTTCCACACCCTGTAGTCAGGTCAACACTCCCCTCTGTACCTTTGCTGGCCATCATGCTGTCCTCATTTGTGACAGCACTGATGGACCACCCTCTGTTGCGGACTTATCAGTGCCGCGCTGATTCCCGCATCCCATTTTGCGGACTTGTGTTGGTGCCGCACACCAACCCCGCTTTTCCTTTGGCCTTTTGCCACTCAGCAGCATTCATTCATTCCTTGCTGAGTGCCTATTATGTTTATCCACTCATTCACAATATCAGTGTTTGATCCGCTTTTATTGACACTAGGTTATTGGTCCTATTGTTCTTCCCATCAATAACCCTCACCACTCATTGTTTGTTTGTTCATTCTTCACTTCCAGTTCCCGGGTTCTTGTCCATTACTTAGTTTGACAATCCCCGCTCTTTTCCACACTGGACCAACTGGCCCTTCTATATTTCCTCTTTCCTATTTATATCTTGTAAATACTTTCGGGGACCCCAGTCTGAAATCAACTAGAGTACCCCCCCCCCCCTGTCTGGTCTGAGTCCCTCCTTCTGCAAAGGGGGCTTCTAACGGAATAACCGCTTGCTCTAGTAGATAGCTCAGTCTCAAGCAATATGCGTGAGAACTGTAATATTACCTAATGCTAAAGCTATAAGGTAATATACAATGAGTTACAATGTATAAGAAATCAGAGTAAAAGAATGTTGTAACTAACCTCAGTCTCAAGCTAATGCGCGAGAACTGAGGGAAAAAGGAAACTAATCCAAATGAATGAATATAGTTTGTGGACTTCGCGGATAAGTCCGAAGTGACCAAAATAAGTAAGAAGAAAAGGTGTTGTGACCAAGTAGTCACGCTACCGTGGGAATGTGGCTGTCCGGGCAAGTTCCTCGCTCGGATGTGGGAATGTGGCTGTATGGAAACTCGTCCGGCCTCCCATAGCACACGGTTCCTCCAACAGCTTCCCCCCCTCTGAGTCCGTGCTCGCAGAGTCCACGCTCCTCCTACAGGTCCGCTCCACCTGCAAGTCTTGTTTGAAGTCCGCTGTAAGTGTCAGTCTGTAAATACAGGATCTCCCCAAAACATCAAGCTCAGGGCACAGTGCTCCACTTGAGTCACTGAGGCCACGATCCCACTCTGCTAACCTTGAACAGCGCTTCCGGACGCACCGCATATTTACACCCACATATCCATGCGTGCATGCTCCAACAGACCTCTGCATCACCTCCGACCCCAACTCAGACAGAAACCCAATCCGTCTTCTGACAGTATTCCGACTCTGACAGTCTGCCCGACTCTGACAGAAGGACCAGCAACAGCAGCCTCGGTCTCAGACCAGATCACAGCAGGGAAACGTTGTTCAGGAAGAGGAGCAGCCTCATCGACTGACCCTCTAGTCGCCTTGCCATCACTCTTCATATCCTCATCCTCATCGGGGATAAGCAGTGGGGTGGGAGGACGCATGGTGGCAGGTAGATGGCCATAGTTGCCATCCATTAATTGAGAGAGAGAAACCTGCATCTTTTGTGGAGGCGCAGGTGGAGCTGGTTCAGGCATGAAGTGCCCTGACTGTGATGGAGGGGGAGGAGGTATGGGGTAGTCGCCCACATGCAGTTTCGAGAATTTGAAGGCAGTCATATTGGCCACCCTACAAGCCCTTGCCTCATTGGAGGGATGATGCCTCCACAACGACAGCAGGATGTACTTCATCCCTGCCTCATTGAGAATTTCGGGAGTCCTTTGGATGTACCCATACCTCTTGTCAAAGTCATCCACAGAAGGATTCCTTCTGCCCTTGAATTTCAGCTCGAAGTAACAAGCATGAAGGTCACAAACATCGCCTGGGGCATCATCGATAACCCCAGCTGCCCCAACCTGCTGGTTGATCCACTTGAGGTCAACCATGAATTTAAACCCGTTCACTGTAATCAGGAATGGGAGTACAAAGTTGTCCCATCACCATTGACGATGGCCTATTTCAGTGGTGATGAGCCACCTCTGGCCACTAACAGTAACTCCATGTACGAAGTCGTTGGTGTGGAAGGAACCTGGGATGGGTATGTTTCTCCATGTCCCAGGAGAAGGAGAACGATTCTGGCTAGGTAGCCGGAACCATGAATATTCGAGTGGTAGGAGGGGGTGACGCAGTGCCTGCTCTTTTCCCGACTCGGGATTGGATGTATTAGATTGGACCCTATGGCTCACTGTTGGGTCAGCAACAGGTACTTGAGGATGGGCCAGTTTGGCTGGTCCAGGGTGTGGATGAGAGTTGTCATCTACACGATGCACCCTCTTGATGGGGGCATTCTGGGTACGCATTTCTGTGTGAGGGATTTTTTGAGGGTGCAATGCCTCATCTTCCTCACAACCTTTTTCATATGACTTGAGGTCCCTTTCCAGCAAGTCGCACTTTCATTGGAGGAAATCCCAGTGTAATGAGACTTCCTGAAACTTGCTGGTGAGACGCTGGTTCTTGAGCTTGATGTTAAAGAGTTCCTCATGGAGCCCTATGTTTTCTTCTTGGATATGTTGAGTCCCTTCTCGAGACTGTGATAGTTCATTGTCAAGACATCAAACATGGGTGTTTGCATCCATAAGGAGTTCAGTCAGGAAAGACCCTGACATTGTAGCATGCAGCTAGTGAGCTGCTTCAGGAGTGGGTGCTCCATGAGGGAGGGAAGGGTGGTAACCCCAGAGATTGGGGTTAAAGTATGGCAATGGCAGCGCTTGTCCTGGTGCCATCAAGTCCGCAAAAAATTGCGGGCCCATTGTCTGATGGTCAGACACAGTGTAAGCTGCAGTAGCTTGCACATCCATCACAGGGTGTTATGGAAATGGGAATTTCCCATTTTAGACTCTTATGGGTTCTGTATCACATGATTTGTATAGTAATTAAGTTTAACCAATCAATAATCAATAATTAACCAAAAACCCGCTGTGCTAACATCTGTTACACCACATGTCAAACCATCTGTGAAACCACCTGTAACCCATTATGTCCAACCCCCTTCCCTATTCCTGCACCAGAATGGACGAAAATGGGCGCTTCCGGCCCCATTTTTGTAACACAGGGGAAGGACACCTGGTACTGTTGGTATTGGGGTAGGATTAGGGATATTGGAGATGCTGGGGGCCTCAGCACCCAGCATCAAAGTATGTTGAACGTTGTCTAAAATGGGACCCATGGTCTCTGTTAGAGACCAGATCGAGACAAAGGAATGTCTCCATGGCGGAGGGCTTTGGCCTCAGCAACTTATGCCAGGAGCGCTGTGCCAAGTAACACGTCTGTGCCCTAACTTACTAACTGGCAACCAGAACTAAAGGGGGTAAACTCTAGTCGATTTTATTACTGGGGTGTAACCTATGTACAAGTTGAGTATATATAGTTACAATGAGGGTGGGCCTGCAAATGGCAGGGCTGAGCGGGGCAGAGCTAATGGGGTTAAACATTAGCCGATTGAATATTACCAACAAGTCAGGTTATGGGGTTAGCGGAATGGTAGGCGATAACCCAGAAACAGAAAGGAGGGATAGGCCCAAAGGTGGGCTTGGATGGCAAGCGAGTGTATTGCCCAGCAGAGGTGGGAGTGTGCTAGCAGACGTTGGAGCTGTCCGGAAGCCTTTGGGGCTCCGTACTTAGGGAGGCATAGGTAATATATTGAAAAGAGGGGGTGGTGACCATCAAGGGATGTGGAGGTGATTGTGGAATATGGGGGCTCCAAGGTTGGTGAAGCAGGAGCAGAGATAGTCCAGAGGGATCGGAAGCAGTGGAAGTCGATGGCCATGGATGGATATGACAGTATCCCCTTCTTAGGCCTGAACCCTTGAAGGCCCAGAATTAGTAAGGTGAGGGGAGCTGTACTTACAGAAAAGAAAAAAATGAAGATGGAAGTGAGGAGTGGAGAGAATGGGAGAGATGGGAGAGGAGTCGGGGTTCCTAAGGAGCTTCAGGTCCAGGCTTGTCTGGGTACTGAGAGTGGAACACTTTGACGAGGTCGGAGGTGTGATCGAGTTTGCCAGCAAGGAGCCATTGTGTCTCCTCATCGGTCCCTTCATAGCCTAGCCACTTGACCAGGTAGAGCAACTTGTTGTCAGGGCACACCCGCCTGACCCGGCTCCACCCGGCCCAACCTGACCTGGTACCCCGCCAGTCCACCCCTCCTTACCTCCTCCCCCTTTCCCTTCTTCCCCCTCATCCTCCCCTCCCCAGTTTCTCCTTATCTTACTTCTCCTTTATTCTCTCTTTATTCTACACGGACGACTTTCTCTGTATCAATGTACAACTGACCCATCTGCAGCGCGCCCACCATGTACCCGGCCCGGGCACCTCGGGCGACTTCCCGCTGTGCCCAGCACGCGCGCCTGCACCGGATACCCTCGGGATCTCCCACGGAGACACCCGGGTGGTTACGGCTGTGTGCGAGGGTGACGTGGCACCCGTCATGTGATCCAAGCCGCATGTATATAAACGAACCTGAAGTGGGAACCGAAGAAGTAGCCTTCTTCTCAACTTTCCACTTCAGGTAAGTAGTACAATATTTCTCCTTTAATAATAATAACAACTTTCCACTTCAGTCTAAGTGGCCAGGGACCGCTGTCCCACATCGGGCCTGTCAGTACGCACGCCCGATCCGCCCCCCGCCAGGCTCTCGGTCCCGGACGTTATACCCGGACCCCCTCGACCCCGGACGAGTCCCTGACACTTGTTGCGTCTATGTCAGTCGATCTTGGAGTCGAGTATCTCTTCGATCTCAAACTCCATCTTGCCTTCAATTTCTATGGGAGGTGGAGGTGGCTGGTGGCAGTTTGGAATGACGTTTGGGACAGAGGGTTCGATCTGCAAGACATGGAATACCGGGTGAATGGCTTGCATGTTTTCCGGCAGGCAGAGAGTGAGGGAGTGAGTTCCAACGTGGGCAATGATCTTGAATGGGCCAAGGTTTTTCTTGGAGAGCTTTTTGGAAGGTCAGGTGGAGCGGAAATACTTGGCCTTTACATAGACCGAGGTTCCTACCTCGAAAGCTGGGGCAGGACTCCGACAGGAGTCTGCCGGGCCCTGATAATGGATCTGAGCGAGGTGCATTTCCTCATGAAGGAAGTGGTGGAGGGAGTCAAGATCTACAGAGTACTCTTGGGCATGTACTGATGTTAGGTCTCGCTCCAGGTGAACGGTGATGTTCGGATGGTAGCCTTTGTTGGCGAAGAATGGAGAGATGCCTGTGGTGGCATTTGGAGCATTGTTGTAAGCGAACTCTGCGAGAGGTAGGAGTTCAGACCAATTGTCCTGCTGGTAGTTACTGTAGATGCACAGGTACTGCTCGAGCATCTGGTTCATCCATTTGGTCTGACCATCTCCTTCTGGATGATAACCGGAGGTGAAGTGGAGGCAGATGTTGAGGGCCTTACCAAGTGAACAGAAAAAATGAGAGACAAACTCCGGACCCCTGTCAGAGGTGACATGGGAAGGAACTCCGTGCTTGGAGAACACATGGAGGAGGAAGAGCTTGGCCAGTTCTGGAGAGGTGATGGCATCATGGGTAGGAATGAAAATGCACTGTTTGGACAGGCGGTCCACGACGACCAAGATGGAAGTGAACCCAGAAGAGGAGGGTAGCTGTTCGATGAAATCCATGGAGATGGAGTTCCAAGGACATTCAGGGATGGGGAGTTGTTTGAGCAAGCCGTAAGGCTTATGATGGGGGACTTTGGCATGGGCACAAGAAGTGCAGGAGGAAACGTAGCTCTTGACAAAGTTACGGATGCCCAGCCAGGTATACTCACGACGTACTAGATCCAGAGTCCGGTTTTGACCGAAGTGTCTGGAAAGTTGGTGGTCATGTTTGTCTCGCAAAATGCGGAGATGGAGATCATTGGAATCTGGAACGTAAATGCGGTTGTCCAGCCTTAACAGGCCTTCAGCATCAATGGACCAGTGGAAATTGGGGAGGTTGGGGGAAGCGAGATGAGAAGAGATTGTGGTATCAGAGGAGAGGGAGGCTAGAATGTCTTGATGGAGAGCCTCTGTGTCAACGAGTACAGCTGCTCAGATTACTGTGGCAGCTAGGAACGTGGCTCGTAAGGATGCAGTGAGCTGCTCCAAAGTGAAGACCAGTCGGAAGTTCTGTGGATTGACATGAGCATAGTCCATATCCCCTTCTTTGGGATAGACGTCCCAGCGTCTAGTCAATGCATCTGGTTTTACTCCGAGTCTTCCGGGATGGAATTGGACAGTCATGTGGAACTGGGAGAGGAACTCTGACCAGTGGGCTTGCCGCTGGGTCAAGAGTTTGGTGGTGGAAAAATACTTGAGGTTCTTGTGGTCGGTAACGACGTCGATTGGAGTTCCTGAACCTTCAAGATAGTGACACCATGATCGGAATGCATCATGAATGGCGAGCAGTCCCTTATCATGGGTGTCGTAATTGAGCTCCAGCGCCAAGAGTGTTCTAGAGCGGAAAGCAATGGAGCAAATCTCTCCATCATCACAACGGATGGACAGGATTCCGGAGATCATGTAATCGGAGGCGTTGGTTTCTACAATGAGGGGGGCATTGGGTACCCAATGTGTCAGGATAGGGGCAGAAGTGAAGGCTTCTTTCAAGGTATTGAAAGCCGAGCAACAATCGTCAGAGAATAACCAGGGGGCTCCCTTACACGTAAGGCACGTCAAGGGGACCACAATGTCGGAGTATTGGTGGATGAAATGCCGATAGAAGTTAGCGAAGCCAAGGAAGGACTGGACATCCTTGACTTTATGGGGCTTGGGCCAATCTTGGACGGCTTCTCAATGGACATGGTGAGTCCGGAGGGAGAAAGGCAGTATCCAAGATATTCTGTAGTGTCTGTATGAAATTTGCATTTCTTCAGATTGGCATATAGGCCATGTTTGCAGAGTCTCCTAAGACCTTCTCGGACATGCTCCTGATGTGAAGCCATGTCTTCCGAGTAGGTAAGGATGTTGTCTAGGTAGACTACCACAGAAACGTCCAAGAGGTCGGCAAAGATCGTGTTGACAAATCGCTGGAAGGCCATGGGTGCATTCATGAGACCGAATGGCATGACAAGCCACTTGTAGGAACCATAGCGTGTGCAGAAGGAAGGCTTCCATTCGTTGCCTGCTGCAATGCGAACCAGGTGGTAAGCATGCTGGAGGTCAAGTCTGGTATAGACTGTGGCATGGCTAGGGGCGTCAAGGAGGTCTGAAATGCGGGGAAGTGGGTAGCGATCCTTTTTGGTGATCTTGTTCAGCCCTCGGAAGCCAACGCAAAGATGGAGGGATCCATCCTTCTTGCGGACAAAGAGGACCGGTGCCGCGTGAG